CACTGTGTAACTCGAGAGCTGCCCGCCTGGGGGGCTCTTCTTCCCGCACGCTACAATGCCCTATGGCCGTCGGAAGGGTTTCCTTGGCTCCTTTTCAAAAGTACACTGCCTAGTCGGCACAGGCCCACTGAAACCTGTGTGCTCCAGGTGGCCTGGTGGTGTTTGGAAGACCAGTGGCATGGCTTCTGGCGTGAGAGCCACATGCACGCCACCGCAGTATGAAAACCTGTAAGATGGGTGGTGAATAGGGCGCAGGGGAACAGCCGAGGGGGCTAGTCTTCTGGCTGAGGGGCCCCCTTCCATCTCCATTTTCCTCTGCAGGGGAACAGAACTTCATTAAGTCCCTGATCAACTTTGATAAAGACAACATCTCAGACAAGGTGCTGAAGAAGATTGGGGCCTATTGTGCCCAGCCCGACTTCCAACCTGATATCATTGGCCGGGTCTCGCTGGCTGCCAAGTCTCTCTGCATGTGGGTGAGGGCCATGGAGGTAAGTACAGGAGGGCAGGAGCGGGAGCGGCAGCCTGGGGGGGTGAGTTGGAGATCACGTGGGTAGGAAGGCAGGCTCTCTTGGGTGAGTGGGCTGGTGAGTTGGTGGGTTAGTGGGTGGATCCCGAAGCCTGACTGTCTTCCTCCAGCTCTACGGGCGCCTTTATCGGGTGGTGGAACCCAAGCGAGCCCGGCTGAACGCCGCCTTGTCCCAGCTTCAGGAGAAGCAGGCAGCACTCGCCGAAGCCCAAGAGAAGCTTCGAGAAGTGAGCCACACACACACACTGCTTTTCTGACTCTAAGGATCCTTCATCACCACTTAGGCCCCTCTCTTCTAGTTCCGCGCCCCCTCCCACTCCACATCCCATTTAGATCGGGCAGCCTCGGACTCAAGAAGTTGAGACCATTGCAGAGAGCTTAAAAGGCAGTCCAGGGTACTGTCACTGATGAGCCCTGCCAAAGACGGGTAGGGAGCTGACACTGTTCTGACCCTTGGCCGTGGGCCTTGAGATGTGGACCATAAGGTCTGTGTGACACGCTGGTCTGTGCCAGGGAACGGGGGTAGGCGCATGGGCGTGGCTGCTGTGGGCAAGCAGAAAGTGAGTTTGTGCAAAGCTCAAAGCTAGAGGGAGCCTGGGGGTGGGGGGTGGAGGGTGACTCTGGTGAGAGGGTGATTTCCTACCAAACACAGCTAGGCAAGGAACTCTCAACCAGAGCAGGAAGTCAGTGTGCTCTTCTGACGGGCAGAACACTCATCCCGTCTGCCATTTGGTTTTTACTGTGAGCGCTGACTCAGTGGACTAACAGAGTGATTCACGTGGTCTGAAATTCAAAAGATGCAGAGGGACATGCAAGAAGACATCTCCCCAACCCTTGTGTCCTCCAGCCACGCAGTGGTCCTCTCTGTAAGCGACCCATCCTGCCCGTTTCTTCGTTGCCCGTCCAAAGGGCTTCATGCTTATATCACTAAACGCAGATGTTCTCACACATTGACGTCATGCATGCTGCTCTGTGCTTTCCTTCTCTGCCATTTTTACCTCATGAAAACACTCAGTTGACTGACTGTGCATAAAGTGCTCTGCATAGCTCACTGGCCTCGGCTTTGCTCATAAGATTTCTAGTGAGTTGTATTTTGGTTTTCTCTGCTTTAAGACGGCTCACTTGCTACTACGATGGATGTTCATTTTCTTTTAAGAGCAAGGTGGGTGCTTTCACAGAAAAATCTCAGTTTTTCATTGCTTGCTTGGCCATGAATTCCTGGGTTTTCAGCATTGCGTGGCTCCATCTACAGTGAAATCAGCACTCTTAAAGGCACGAGAAACCTTCCTACTCCAACATTACATGGTTCTACACATTCAAGATCAACCACAATAGGTCGTGATGACCCATGTCATATAGAATCCTGTGTACAGAGAATTTTTTTATCAAAAATTCATAGGTCCTCATCGGACTTCCCCGTCCTGGTCTAGTCAGGCTCTGGCTCAGTGGCCATGGAGACCAGGGGGCACTTGAATCTCTGTACCCCCAGTGGCTTAACAAGATAGATGTTTGTAATGATATAGAGGTTTTCGATTTTTATGTAATCAAAACTGGTCGTACAATTCCAAAATGCTTTAACTGAAACCAACTCTGAAGCATATCTAAGTGTCCACCCTTCTCAAATCAGATGAAGGGCCCTAGGCTGTGAGATCAAGGGGGTTTCCCAAGGCTACCTGGCTAGTTCCGGAGCTGAGATTGGATCCAAGTTCCCTGACTCACCTACCACACAGAGTTCATCCCTGACGTGCCTGGCCCTGCCGTAGGCATCCTTGCTGCCGAAGCAAAGCTGCCCTTGAGGTCTTTTCTAATCCTGTCTGCACAGAGAATTGAGTTAGGCTGGGTGGCTGGGCTTCTATCTACACACGCTAATCCATGGCTATAGCCCTGTTGCTATCACCCCTCCCAACAATGCGTCAGACCTTTGCCTTTTTCCAGAGTGAATAATCAGACGTGTAGCAACCCATTTGCTCACTCTGGTTGAATCATATCCTGCGCCAAGAAATCAGGGGTTGTTCCCTTTATGTATGGAAAGCATGGAATCTATAGGGTCAGCTGCCAAGTTGATTTTGCCCTTGGGCAAACATTTACAAAACACCTGATGTTAGCACTCTGGAGGCCAGACCCAACCCCCTACTCGAGAGTCCCTGATTGAGAACGGAGATCCAGATGGAGTAAGCAGAGAGTGTGCATTTAAAACTGATAGCAACTCAGCCTGGAATTTCAAACAAAAGAGCTGAATAATAAAAATCGGTGGGTTAAAAAAATAAGCCAATTAGGGAACCAAAATTTCTCCTTTGGTTTGCAGGTTGCATCTGAGTGGAGCTAATGAACCTGTCTAACAGAACCTCAGAACTAGGAAGCTTCCCCACCCAGTTGCAGATAGCTCTTTACTCAGGCCAATAAATAAGACTGGTGGGTAGAGCCTGGGGCTTAGCATTTTAAAAGCTTTTGTGATCAAAGCTAACCAGAGATGGGAAGGCCGTTCGAATATGTAATTCTGGGGCCCAGAGGTCTGGAAAGAGGCCCAGAGCCCAACTATATTGCAAATCAATATAAACCTATAAATACTTTTAACCCTGAAAATATATTTTTGGGAACCCTGAGAAAGCATTTTTCCCAGACCTAATTCTCATGTGCAGCAAAGGTTAAGAACCGCTGCCCCAGAAGGCTCTGAAATGGGCTAGAACAGAAATCCCAAATGTCTTCCAGGCAATTCTGTATCCAAGATTGAAAATTCATGTTCTTCTCCATTTCTGTTCCAAATGAAGTCTAATGACATGAACTTCCAGGGCCACCAGAGAGAAAGCCTGCCCCGAGAGCAGCCACCCTGACTTTGGACTTCTCCTCTGTCCCCCACCCTGTGAGGAAACAAGTTTCTGCTTTTCAGAAAGCCACCCTCTTGTCATTCTAGCCGCACCAGATAGCGACAACAGAACCTGGGGAGTTATGCAGTGAGATTAAGTGACAGCACCCAACGACACAATCATAAAGAACAGCACATTCGTAGTTGTTCCACAGATGTACACATTACCCACATGGAGTACTTCCCAAGGACCCCTGGCGGTAAAGTGGGCGACTTGTTGGGTCAGGAGTTCAAACCCTCCAGCCACTCTGAGGTACGGAGATGAGGCTGCCTGCGCCCATAAAGACTTACAGTCAAAGAAACCCAAGAGGCAGCTCGACTCAGTCCTGTAGACCCTCTGTGAGTCAGAATCGACCCGATGGCAGTGGGTTTAGGTTTAGTTTGGGATGCAATTTCCAAGGTCCTTGAGGAATGCCAACAGTTTGTGCCGGACTGCCTAACCCAAGGTTGGTGGGTTGAACCCACTCAGTGCACTTCCGAAGAAAGGCCTGGAGATCTGCCTCCACGAGCACCGCCCGAGAGAGCTCACGGGTGGGGCAATCCTCCTGCGGAACGCACGGGGTCTTTGTGACTCAAAGCAGACTCAGCAGCAGTGCGTTTGCTTTGAGTCCCTGGGTGACGCAGACAGTTCGTGCACGCAGCTGCTAGCTGAAAGGTTAGACAGTCGAGTCTCTCCAAAGGCACCTTGGGGAAAGGTCCTCACAATCGACTTCTGAAAAAACCAGCCATCAACAACCCCATGGAGTCTTAACGGCTTGAAGGTAAACCAGCGGCCATCTAGCTCAGAAGCAACAAAGCCCACATGGAAGAAGCACACCAACCGGTGCGATCACCAGGTGTCGAAGGGATCAGGTATCAGGCATCATCAGAACAAAAAAATCTTACCATAGTGAGTGCGGAGTGGAGACCCAAAGCCCATTTGTAGGCCACTGGACATCCCCTTACAGAAGGGTTTCGGGGAGGAGACGAGCCAGTTAGGGTGCGATGTAGCAACGATGAAAAATACAGCTTTCCTCTAGTTCCTAAATGCTTCCTCCCCTCACCCCAACCCCACTATCATGATCCCAATTCTACCTTGCAAGTCTGGCTGGACCAGACGATGTACACTGGTACAGATAGGAACTGGAAACCCAGGGAATCCAGGGCGGATGATCCCTTCAGGATCAGTGGTGTGAGTGGCAATACTGGAAGGGTAGAGAGAGGGTGGGTTGGAAAGGAGGAACAGATTACAAGGATCTACATGTGACCTCCTCCTCCCTGGGGAACGGACAACAGAAAAGTAGGTGAAGGGAGACATCGGACAGGGAAAGATATGACAAAATAATAATTTAAAACTTATCAAGGGTTCATGAGGGAGGGGGGGAGGGGGAAAATGAGGACCTGATGCCAAGGGCTTAAGTGGAGAGCAAATGTTTTGAGAATGATGAGGGCAACGAAAGTACAAATGTGCTTTACACGATTGATGTATGTATAGATAGTGAAAAGAGTTATATGAGCCCCTAATAAAACGATTAAAAAGAAAAAACAACCCTATGGAACACAGGTCTTCTCTGACACACGAGGGGTCGCCATGCCCCAGAGTTCAACGCACCAGCTACTGGATAAGCAGAGCCGGCAGGGTAGCACTGATGTAAGTAGTCCATCCGGCTCTTTGCACCTGCCCATCTCTGATGTCCGACTGGTCCAAGACTATCAGCTCAGCGAGTCCCTGGTTGCTGAGAACATCTCTCCTGGATCGTTCTTTTGGAATGCACCCCCGCTCCTCTCTCCAGCAGCTTCCTGGTCATTTTCTATCTCTTTCTTCCTCTCTCCAGGTGCCACCTAACTTTTGGACTGAGACTCGCCAACACAGCGTAACTGTGCCATAAGAGCTCTGTCTCCCACCTAGCCTTGGATGTCATGCCAACAGTGATAGGCTCTAGGAAAGGGCTGCAGAGGGAAGGCAAAGAAAACCTATTTACAGTACATACCTTTTATCTCACTCCTTACAACAGTGGTGGAGTGGCTATGAGTTGGGCTGCTGACTGCAAGGTCAGCAGTTCGAAACCACCAGCCGCTCTGTGGGAGAAAGATGGGGCTTTCTGCCGCTGTAAAGAGTTACAGTCTTGCGGGGGAGGTAGCACTAGAACTGATTGTGATTACAGAACTCATTTTAAAAGCAATTTAACCATGAAAAAGAAAGAAAATGTTCTAAAATGGATTGTGGTAATGATTGTACAATTCTTCTTGATATGATTGAACTATTGAATTCTATGATATGTGGAGTATATGCCAATAAAACTGCAAAAAAACCCAAATTACTCAGCACGCCCCTGGCAGAAAAAAAAAGAGTCACAGGGGCAGTTCTGCCCTGTTCTGTGGGGTCACTGCGAGCAGGCATTGGCTTGATGGCCATGAGCTTTGGGTTTGGGAGTTTATTCCGCTACGGATGGGTATTATCGTGATAATGGTTTTATGATGATGATGATTGTAAACATCAGGAAGCCGAGATGTGAAGAGATTGAGTTTACCTAAGGCCACTCAACTACCAAATGACAGCTGCTGCTGGCACCTGACACCATGTGGCCAGGTTTGGACCTGGCACCATGTGGCCTCCAGCCTTGTGTTTGATCCCTTGCACTCTGGCCGCTCCCAGGTAGCTGAGAAACTGGAGATGTTGAAGAAACAGTATGATGAGAAGCTGGCACAGAAAGAGGAGCTTCGCAAGAAGTCCGAAGAGATGGAGCTGAAACTGGAGCGGGCCGGGATGTTGGTGTCCGGGTTAGCCGGGGAGAAGGCCCGATGGGAAGAGACAGTCAAGGTGAGATAACCCACCACTTGGCTCTCCTTCCTCCCGGCCCACTGGTATGTGACCTTCCGGTGGAGGCGTATCCAGGGAAGCTGGCGAGATCTGGGTTTAGGGAAATCTAAGGCCGATGGGCGCGCGTTCCCCTCTTTCCCTCATTCGGAGTTCTCACCAGCCAGGAGTGGGGTGGTGGTGTTGGCTTAGACTACTTTCCCAAGCCATGTCTCTTCCTGAGACCCACTCCCCCTCCGTGTGGAACAGTTCTGTTCTGTAGCACCCAGAGTTCTCAGGGGGTGGAATCCACTGCGAAGCCGCAGACTGGTGGAAGACCAGGCTTCTTGTGCCAGATCAGCTGCAGTGCTTAGGCAGGGCTGAGAAGCATGCATGCACGCACACACACGCACTCACGCACGTGGACTCTATACAGTCCCCTGGCTGGCTGGACAACAGACAGACGTGGGACACCTAACAGAAAGGCCATCTAAAGAGCCCCTGGCCAGAGGAGCCCTTATCACCAGAATGTAAACATGGCTGAGAACCAGGTCAGAGTCCTCCAGGGTGGGAAGTCTTAGGAGAGGCAAAGAATCTCTTTGATCTGATGACCAAAGGAGAAGTGCCTCTTGCTGCTCCCCAGGGCCTGGAGGAAGACCTGGGCTACCTGGTAGGTGACTGTCTCCTGGCTGCTGCCTTCTTGTCCTACCTGGGGCCCTTCCTGACGAACTACCGGGACGAGATCGTCAGGCATATCTGGATCAAGAAGGTGAGGGGGCAGGCCTTAGGGACAGAAGGGGCAGAGGCTTCTGGGCCCAGACTGACACCGGGGCTTGTTCTCCCTCTCCCAGATCTGGGAGCTGCAGATTTCTTGCTCACCTCGCTTCACCTTCGATAGCTTCCTGTCCAACCCGACCAAAGTTCGAGACTGGAACATCCAGGGGTTGCCCTCAGATGCCTTCTCCACAGAGAATGGCATTATAGTCACCCGTGGCAACAGGTGAGGACACTGCCAGGGGTGAGCTTCAGAGGGAGAACAGAGCCTGACTTCTGACAGGTGCTTCCCCCTCCAGGTGGGCACTGATGATTGACCCTCAGGCCCAGGCCCTGAAGTGGATTAAGAACATGGAAGGAAACCAGGTGTGAAGTTGAGGGGTTGGCTCGAATATTTGCCCCACCCATGTCTCTTCCTGAGACCTTCTCCTTAGGCCCTCCCCGCTCTCTGCCCTCAGTGTGGGACCGCTCTATTCTGTAACGCCCAGGTTCTCAGGGGTTGGAACGGACTCCGGAGCCAAGGTTTCTTTTTGGTTGTCATGGCCGTGGATTTCTCTGGGTTTGTGCCATCTTTCCCCCTTGCTTCCTCAGGGCCTCAAGATCATTGACCTGCAGATGAGTGATTACCTTCAAATCCTCGAAAAGGCCATCCAGTTTGGAAACCCAGTACTACTACAGAACGTGCAGGAATACCTGGACCCCACCCTCAATCCCGTGCTCAACAAATCTGTATCTAGAATTGGTCAGGGCCCAGGCTTATCCTGGGGTTGGATTGTGTGGCAGGGGGGCGGGGGTGGGGGTGGGGAGTTCTAGAAGCCAGTGTGGGTAGGGCACTGGAGAGGAAAGGGCTAGCCCTTTGGCTCACCTGGAATGGGGCCATCGGGGCAATCTGAGATGCTGCCATTGGGTGCTGGTTTGGCCACAGGTTAGCCTATACCTGATTACCTGGGGTCCTTGCAGGGGGCCGGCTGCTGATGCGGCTTGGAGATAAGGAGGTGGAGTACAATCCCAGTTTCCGTTTCTACATCACCACGAAGCTCTCCAACCCCCACTATAGCCCAGAGACCTCCGCCAAGACCACCATTGTCAACTTTGCTGTTAAAGAACAGGTGGGGGAAGCAGGCAGGGGGGCTGTAGAGAGTTGGGAAGGACCTGGGGAAAGGCGAAGCATGAGCTGAGTCGTTGGGAGGGAGGAGGACCGGGCAGGTGGGAAGGAGTGGAAAAGGTGAAGGTCGCGGGGCAGGGTTCTGGCCATGAGTCTGGGCGCTCGCTCTAGGGTCTGGAGGCACAGCTATTGGGCATCGTGGTCCGGAAGGAGAGACCCGAGCTGGAGGAGCAGAAGGACACACTCGTCATCAACATCGCCGCGGGCAAGAGGAAGCTCAAGGAGCTGGAGGATGAGATCCTTCGGTGAGACCTAGCACCTCCACAGGCCCCTCCTGCTGCTTGGCGAGGGGAGTCTTTGACTCACGTGCCTCTGCACTTCGCTCCAGGCTGCTGAACGAGGCCACAGGCTCCCTGCTGGACGACGTCCAACTGGTGAACACCCTGCAGACGTCCAAGGTCACTGCCACGGAGGTGACGGAGCAGCTGGAGACCAGCGAGACCACGGAGATCAACATCGACTTGGCCCGTGAGGTGAGCCCCTGTGCCCAGCCAGCCATCGAGAAGCCACTGGGATCCCACCCTGGGCCTTTGCTCCGTGCCATGCCCCCCTGTACCCCTGACTCCCTCGGCTCCCTCTGCAGGCTTACCGCCCGTGTGCCCAGCGGGCGTCTGTGCTGTTCTTCGTGCTCAATGACATGGGCCGCATTGATCCCATGTACCAGTTCTCGCTGGATGCCTACATCAGCCTCTTCGTCCTCAGCATCGACAAGAGCCATCGCAGCAATAAGCTGGACGACCGCATTGACTACTTGAATGAGTACCACACCTACGCTGTCTACAGGTCTGAGGGCTCCTTCCCCTGTCCCGCAGGCAGGAGGCCAGTGACTTAGCTCTGCTCCAGACTCTGCTGGCTCCTTCTGTCTTGCTGCTTCCCCGCACTGTTTTTAGCCTACTTCTCTCCCCTCCACACACCTTCCCTGAGTAGCTTGCCCACTGTTGTGGTCCAACTATCAAGTATGGGCCGGTTAAGAAGCCGTGGTGGTGTCAGGGTTAAGAGCTAGGCTGCCAAGCAGGAGCTGGCAGCTAAAACCCACTGGCTGCTGCAAGAGAGAAAGATGAGGCTCTAAATATTTACCATCTGGGGAAACCGCAGGGAACAGTTTGACACTGTCCCATAGGGGTTGCTGTGCGTCGGAATCAACTCAGTAGCAGTGGGACAGACTGGCTATTTCCCATCTCATCCCCTCAGCTCTCCTGCAAGCCTCGGACTTGCACATCCTTGAGAGCTAGAAAGGACTAGCCCTGTGCCCCTCAAGGCTTCGTGTGTGCCCAAGCACGAGCCGTCATGTTCAAATGCAGGTTAGGACGCGCTGAGTCTGCAGAGGGGCCTGAGAGTCTGCGTTTCTAACATGCTCCCAGGTACTGAGGAGCCCTTGGATGACCACAGAAGATTAGGTGGGCCATTGAACTGAAACGTTGATGAGTCAAAGCCACCTCGAGGCGGCTCAGCAGAAAGGCCTGGTGGTCTCCTCCCCAAAGGCCATGTGAGGTCCATCAGGGTGTCCTGACTCAGAATGACTCAGTGACAAGCTTGGGCTTGGTTTTCCAGGCGTTGCTCTGTGCATCACAATTGAGTAACGACCCTTTGGGGCCCTCTTGCCTAGTACCCACAGGTTGGCAAGCTCGTGCCACATTTTCACTACCTCACAAGCCGCTCCTTCCCCAGTCCACCTCGTCTCTCTGTTTGCAATCATAGGTCCCGCAGTCACCTGGCTTCCGATCAGACTTCTTTTCTTTCTCTTCTTCATTCAAGGCCCTCATCCTTGACGGCCACCAAGCCCCTGATGCTGACTTCCCAGTCACCCAAGCCTGAGTCGAGGAGTTATCTTTGACTCCTCCCTCTCCCTTACCTCTCAGATCAGTCACCACATTTAGCCCCAAGTATTTCTCCAAACGTTCCGTTCCCTTCCCACTTCCCCCACTGCAGTGACTGACCTGGAATTTGGGCCTTCCTGAACTACGCAGTGATCTCCTAGCAGGCCACCCTGCCTGTCCCTCGCCAGCTGACCGTCCTGCAATTGTCAACATGAGTCATGCAAGCCCTCTCCCTCCCCCCCTGCAAACAAAAAGCCAAACCTGCCACTGAGCTGATTCCAACTCATAGAACTGATTCCAGCTCAGCCATGTAGAACAGAGTAGAACTGCCCCAGAGGGTGTCTGGGGCTTCAATCTTTATGGAAGCAGTCTGTTCCCCCCACCCCGCCCCCCATCTTTCTCCCAGGGAGCAGCTGGTGAATTCAAACCACTGACCTTTCCACTAGCAGTCCAAGGCTGAATTCACTACACTAAGCCCACCCGTCTGATCGCATCCTTCCCCGCCATGACTTCCTTACTTCCTTGGCTCCCACAAAGCCCTTGGTGACCTGGCCTCTGCCCACCTATCCAGCCTCACCATCCCTCCCTCTGCCCCTGGCTGCCTGAGCAGTACTGCTGCCCATGCCCCTCGCTGTGCTCCCTCCCTCCTCCTGCACATGCTGTGGCCCATCCCAGGTGCCCCCGTTCCTCCTCTGTCCCACTTGGGGATGCCTCTGCCCCTTGGGAGTCAGTTCCTCCCAGAAACTTCCCTGGCCCAGGTCCCCTGACCCTTTGCTATCTCCTGATAGGAGTCACTATTGCCATCTCATTAGTGATGGCATCTCTGTGCCATGTCCCGCAGGGTCCTCTCTACTTGTGCAAGCACTGAGACGGGCTTCTTCATCCATGTGGGTCCGGACCCTCCAGAGTGCTTGGTTCATAGTTGGGGGTCCAATCAAGGCATATGAATTGAATCTGGGAAAACCACCACTTATTTCTCCTCTTGAAGGCTCTGTGATTACCTGCTCTTCGCTCAGGAAGCATTCCAAGGAGCATCCTGCCCTGCTTCAGCCTGTCTCCTTCATTCCCTCTATCTCCTTCTCCCAGGTATACCTGCCGGACCCTTTTTGAGCGCCACAAGCTATTATTCAGTTTTCAGATGTGTGCCAAAATACTAGAGACGTCTGGCAAGCTGAACATGGATGAATACAACTTCTTTCTACGGGGGGGTGTGGTGAGTGGGTCAGCGGGTAATCCAGGTGTGGGGTGGTGGCTAGGTTGGGGGGATGGAATATGAGCACTGAAGACCCAGTGGTTACAGCCAAGGCCCTAAGGAGGGAGCTGAGAAAAAAAAACGAGGGAAGGAGCCAAGTGCATGATGGGCTCCTTGGGGCTGTCGGTGGTGACTGGCCTTGTGGCCCTTGCCTGTGTTACAAGCTGACCTTTGGGACCCCCTCTGACCTGTAACCCATGCATTGGCATGATCTTACTGTTTCATTGTCTCTCAAGCCATGCCTTCCTCCACTTAAACTCCCTGGTCTCTCTCCATTGCAACCACTCCCTAGCGGGCGTCCTTAACCTACAACCTCTCTGTGTCTGCATTGCATTTGCTTGCCTAAGCTAGCACTATGCTTAGATTCGGCTCGGCTTCCCCGCTGTCCCTGTGTGGCTCTAGCAGCTGACCATGGCCGGAGGAAAACACACAAGCACACCCACTGGGCTCGCTCTAGATTCATAGTCTCGAATGAGCCTCCAACCCCAAACCCAATGCTATGGCATCTGTTCTGACTCACAGCGGCCCTGTGTAGGGTTTCTGAGACTATAAATCTCTAAGGGAGCAGACAGCCTCATCTTTCCCTGTGGAGCAGCTGGAAGACTTGAACTGCCTACCTGGAGGCCACGTTGCTCAGCACCTAACCCACAGCGATACCAGGGCTCCTCCTTGAACCTCAAAGGGGAGCTTAAAATTGCCAGACAATCACCCCTTGGGGCCAACAAGGAGAGCAGAGATACCAGGAGGATTAGCAGAGGGTGGGGGGAGAAAGGGGGAATCAATCACAAGGATCAATCTATAACCTCATCCCAGGGGGATGAATAATGGAAAAGTGGGTGAGGGGTGATGGAGGACGATGTAAGATATGGGGAAAATAATCTATAACTTATCAAGGGTTCGTGAGGGAGGGCAGGTAGGGGAAGGAGGGGGAAGAATTGGGGAGCTGATATCAGGGACTCAAGTGGAAAGAGAATGCTTAGAAAATGATGATGGCAGTACATATGCAAATGTGCTTGACACATTGTAGGAATGTATGGATTGTGATAAGAAATGTAAGAGCCCCTAATAAAAGTATTTTAAAAACCTACCAGACAATCAACCATACTACATTTTCTTAGGCCACTTTTCTCCAAATTTCTTGGACGGTGATTTTATTCTTTCTACCACCTTCAATTCTTTTCTTCGTCAGGATTTTGGCAACAGCCTCTCAAGAGTTCCCTCGCCAACCCTCAACAACACAACCCCAGTCCTGTGGACTGGTGACCTCATCCCTGCTGGCCCTGCCCCCACTGCCCTCCTCACTCCACCTGCACAGGCCACCCGCTCCCAGCCAGGAATAGCCCATCTTAGGGCCTTTGATGGGCTCGTCCATCTTCTGGAAAATTGTTCCTCGCTCACCTCCTTCAAGTCTTGACTCAGATCTCACTATGACCTTCTTGACCTCTTCCTAGGATCATTACCTTACTCAGTATTTGCCATGAGAAGCCAGCCCCTAGCGCATCATTACGGGTCCGGTAGGCGCAATTGTACAGCGAAAATAAGTAAAGATTATAGTAAAGTTAGAGAGAGCATAAGAGAGAGAAGAGAAATATAGAAATAAATGGAGTCAGACACAATTCATAGTAGCATGCTCACCTCAACCCTGCTTGGTGGTGCACGTGGAGGGAGAGAGAGATATTTAATGCTAACTAAAGCTTTTATATCCTCTGGGGACACGCAATCCCCCTAATTACAGGTAAAGACATATGTCACAGGAAGGGGTTGCACTATTGGTTATACAGCAATGAGTGGGGGTGATCTAGGGACATACATGCAATAGGAAGAGGAGGGATTGGGGGTATACACGTGACAAGATGGGTGGATCCTAGATTTAGGATGGCAGCTTAATTTTGATCTGTTTTCTGGATCTCCATATGAACCACGATCAGTAGGGTGTGAACTCCACCTACAGGAACCAAGCTAAAGGTCGCAAGTCTTAGGGAGAAGTATTCCATTGTCTCCAGCAGCAGGGAACAGGCCCACCCCCAGGGAGGATGTCTAAGCATTTGAGCTCCCCCCACAAGTATTATTCATAACCTTGCTTATCACCCCCCCCACCACACTCTTCTTCTAATCTATTACATTAGTACTCGTCGGACAGTAAACTCCTAATGGGCAGAGACATTTGATTGTTTTGTTCAGTGATGCTTCCCAAGTGTTTAAAATACATAGTTGGTTAACAGGTTTTTAAAATTTTTTTAAAGAATTAATAAATGCAGGAATACACAGTTTTTGCTTCTCTGAAGGGCAAGGCTGCCAGTGAAAGTCACTGGGACCTGAGATACGGGGAGACGTTTTACCAGATAGCCCGCAGAGGGCGCCAGCGCCCCACAGGTTAAGGTGCTGGTTCTCCTGCGTGTCCGCCCAGAGCCTCCCCTCCAGTTCCCCAGGAAAGGCCAGTGCCCACCCCTTTCAGACTGCTGGATTCATCTTTTTACTCAATTTTATGCAAGGTTTGGATTTCCCACCCTGGGAGGTTTGGGGCAAGATAACCCTTCTGAGACGGATCCAGCCAGTTCCCTTCTCCGTTCGTCTCCCAGGTCCTGGATAGGGAGGGACAAATGGACAACCCATGTACCAGCTGGCTAGCCGATGCTTACTGGGACAACATCACCGAGCTCGACAAGCTGACCAACTTTCACGGACTCATGAACTCCTTTGAGCAATACCCTCGTGACTGGCACTTGTGGTACACCAATGCTACCCCTGAGAAGGCTATGCTGCCAGGTACCCAGGCGGCGGAACCCCAGGCCCCTGCCCTGCGCCTCTCCTTCCAGCCAACGTCTCCCTTTGCCGCCCCTGGAGCCCCTGTCCCAAATTCTCCTCCTGGGAGTCAGCCTCGGTCCCACCCCAACCCTCAGCATTCCCGCCAGGGCCCCCCACCACCCCCACCCGGTCCCTCCCACCACCCCCACCCGGTCCCTGCCATTAGGTTCTAGATCCTTGGCCCCCTCCCCAGGTGAGTGGGAGAACGCCTGCAATGAGATGCAGCGCATGCTCATCGTGCGCTCGCTGCGCCAGGACCGGGTCTCCTTCTGCGTGACCTCCTTCATTGTCTCCAACCTTGGCTCTCGCTTCATTGAGCCGCCCGTGCTGAACATGAAGTCGGTCAGTGGCTCAGCTCCCCGCCCCACCCCAGTCTGAGTCCTCCCGGCAACCCCACGCAGGCCCACTACCGCACTTGGTTATGTGATCTTCTCCTAAGGCCTTACTCTGTACTCTGGCAGGTGATGGAGGATTCAACGCCACGAACTCCCCTGGTATTCATCCTGTCCCCGGGGGTGGACCCCACCAGCGCCCTGCTCCAGTTGGCCGAGCACACAGGCATGGCTCAGCGCTTCCATGCCCTGTCCCTGGGCCAGGGCCAGGCCCCCATCGCTGCCCGGCTCCTCCGAGAGGGTGTGACCCAGGGTCAGTGTCTGTCCTGTTGTTCTACCCCTGCTCCGGCCCTGGTCCTGCTCCGCAGCATCTGCATCCCCGATCACAGAGGCCACCCACTTCTCCAGGCAGTGGCAGGCCTGAGCTTTTGGGAAGACTGGGGGGGCCAGGTGGAGCTCCGGGGTGATCCCCACTGAGCCAGCATCTCCTTGCAGGGCACTGGGTGTTCCTGGCTAACTGCCACCTATCACTGTCTTGGATGCCCAATCTGGATAAACTGGTGGAACAGCTGCAGGTGGAGGATCCTCACCCTTCCTTTCGCCTCTGGCTCAGCTCCAGCCCCCACCCAGACTTCCCTATCTCCATCTTGCAGGCCAGCATCAAGATGACCACAGAGCCACCAAAGGTGAGGGGGGTGGTACAGGAGGCAGCAGCAACCGTGCCATGTGGTTGGCTTTTCTGACTGCGAGTATCAGCGAGGGCTCTCTTCTCTGCCATAAGGCCCACAGCTCTTTCTATCCTCTTTGTGCCTAAACACCTAGAACTTAATGATCATAATAGCGAGCATTTCTTGATTCTGTTGTTATGTGGCAGGCACTGTTCTAAGTACTCTGTAGCGAACAATGTATTTATCCACATCCCTATCAGGTAAGTACCACTGCCACCACCCTCATTTTGTGCATAAGAAAACTGAGGCGTAAAAAGAGTAAATAACTAGTCAGAGTTTTGGTAGTTGAGTTTCCAAATTCATTCTCTTAACTAGTGGAGCTAAGAACTTTTTCTTTAATTCCTTCCTTCCCCCTCCCCCACCCCCCACCCCATCTCTAAGATGGGTGTGCCTTGGTAACTAGAGAGCCTGTGATGGGTAGAGGCCTATCATTTTGCATTTGGGAGGCAGGTGCTATGATGCTCCGAATAGGACAAGCAGAGGCCATGCTACATCTAAGGGGGAGACTGGAAAGTAGAAAGAGGGAGGATGGCTCTGTGGTGGGGAGGGAGGGTCTGGAGAGGAGAGAGAGGGGCCTCGGGAGTCCCCCCAGCCCAGGTGTCTGTGACATTCTGTTGGCTGCGTCTGCGGAAGGAGCACTGGTAGCAAGTGCAAGGCCAGCAGTTCAAAGCCAGCAGGCCCTCTGAGGGCGAGCAGTCCTTGGAGAAGGCCATCCTGTTTGGTAAACCAGAGGGGCAGTGAGAAAGAGGGAGACCCTCGATGAGATGGATTGCAACGGCAGGCCTGAGAACAGGAACACTTGTGAGGATGTGGGCAGGACCGAGGGCATTCTGCCAGGTGGGCATTGCAACAGACTGGATGGCACTCATGCTAGCAACAGCCTCGGAGACCCACAGGGGCAGCTCCACTCTGTCCTAGAGGGGGCTGTGAGTTGGAATCCACTCGTCGGCAGTGAGTTTATCAACAGTCACAGGAGATGTGCTTCATTTCCCTTCGAAGGGACGTCACTCTGCCGCAGACCTAGCAGGCTAGGTTGGGCTGTAAGCGTGAGGTGGGCGGTTTGACCCCACCAGCTGCTCCCAGGAGCATGCTGGGGCTGCTCCTGAAGACTTATTGGCAGTGGAGCCCGCTGAGGCAGCTCCGCTCGGTCCTGCATGGTGGCCATGAGCTGGACTGGACTCGGGGCAGTGCGGTTGGGGTTCTGGCAGGTGCAGTGGTGGAGCACTCAGCTGCTGACCTAAGGCAGTGAGCTGGCTTGGGGTTCTGCAGCGACTCCCCAAGAGTCCATCCCAGGTGATCCACGTACAACCAGGTTTCTTTCGAAAGTTGACAAAGAGGCCTATATGCATTTTCCTTTAAAAAGGAAAAAAAGTATTGTGAAAAGAGATTTTTAAAACATTGCCTGTTCAACTTTCCTCCCCAGTACCATTTAGTAACACAAATTATGTGAATCATGTAGTGCCACTAATACTAATCATTGTTGCCAAATTTTCCATCCTCATAAATAGAAACTCAGTTCTTCTCCCTTCCCACCTTCCTCCTGCTCCTGGAAACCATGAGGACAGTTTGGTCTCTGTCCATTTGCCTGTGTGGGAACCCACCCACCAGTCGCTCAGCGGAGGCAGGTGAGAGCGTCTGCTCATGTGACGATTTCGTCTCCAAAGTCTGACGTAGGGTCCCTAAGACTTGGAATCGGCTCAGTGGCTGGAGTTTTTCTGTATACAGTTACCTATTCTAGATCACTCACACACCTGAAGTCCTGGACTCTGTCCTTTTGTGGCGGACTTAATTCACTCAGCATAATGTTTGCTTGTTTTGAATGAGTTGCTTGAATTCCAGGCGGTACAGAATCCCAAAGAGCAGCTCTGGGAGGACTCTGGACAGGGTTCACTCTGACCTCACAGCTCAGATACGAATGGCTGAGTGAGGCGCTACGGAGATGAACCATTATATGATCTTTTTTGTTGTTGTTTTTACAAAAGTTCATTCTTCAGTGTAACAGGCTCCAAAATTACAGTTTATTCTAACTATAGGTGGCAACAGATGTTACAGCCGGGAATCCAGATGTTTACGCAGGAATGGAATCAAGAGTCATCCTCTGTGAGATACAGAAAGGCTTCTCCCTAGGCTGTCCCCCCATAATAGATGCCAAACCAAAGACGCTTCTTGTAACCCACGGTCGGTCTGTACACTTGGAGTCCAGCTGCTTAAAGATGATCTCCCTGGGGATTATCAGCCATCTAGAGCAATCACACTATTGTCTGTCCCACCCCAGGTGGGGCCCACGCCCTGCTGATAAGGATAGTGCTTTGCTCCCATGAAGGAGAGCCCAGAGACAAGGTCAAGCCCACTCAAGGAGGACCAAGGTTAGGCTGCCATCTTGAATCTAGGGTCCACCCATCTTGTCACATGTGTACCCCTCCTATTTCCCCTTCCTATTGCTTGTATACCCCTAGCTCCTCTTCCTATTGCGTGTGCACCCCTTCCTGTCACTCATATCCCTATTGTACAGCCCCTTCCTGTTGCGCATGTGGTTACCTTTGGGGATTAGACCTCAGGGGGCTTGCACGTCCCCTAAATGTATATAAGCCGCGATTGGTAATCTATTCTCTCTCTCTGCGCGGACCTGACCGCTGAGATCATGGCTGTCCCGGAGGTGAGCGCTTGCATGTGTTTCTTGTCTGATGTCTCTTTAATTTTACCCTCAATTACACAACTTCCCCTTGGACCCGTTCGATGGTGGCAGCTGGCACCACACGATCCGCATTGCTTCAGCCACCAAGAACATCTTACTTTTGGCCAGATTTCTTCATTCCACCTGTGCTGGGGTGGGGGTGGGGGGTGAGGGGGCGTCCCCTTGGCCTTTGCTTTTAGCTCCTCCAGTTTCTTCTGCTCTTCTTCCCGTTTCTGCTTGAAAGCCTCCTCTTCCTCGTCCATTTCCTCCTCTGCTTCTTGGGTTGTTTCAGGGGCTTCTTCTTGCCACCTTCGCAACCCAACATGGCGCCTGCCGCCCTTTCCCCAGATCTGCCACCTAAAAACCTCAGCATAGTGTTTTCAAGGTTCCACCAGGTGGTAGCATGCAGCAGGACATCATTTCTCTCCACAGAGGACAATATAAGATTTGTTCTGAAAATGATGTTATGCTTAAAGAAATGATTTAAGAATGAGAATAGTGTAAAGAATGCTCATACATGAAGGCAGGTAAAACATACATATATACATCAACGTTTCAGTTCATACATGCATGGATCTATTCCAAACCAAAAAAAATTTTAAACGTCGTTCTGCAGTCAGGTAGATTCTCTCAGTAATACAAGAGTGGGGGGGGGGCGGGCGGGGCTTTTAATAACACATACAAAAATGGGATCAAAGGGTAGTGTCGTTTTTCTGTGAGCTTTTTCAAGCCCCTTAGGATCCAATCAAAATAGTGGCTTCCAAGGTGATCTGCTGGATCACTTACATGCAAGGCAGACAAGTCGGCTCGGAAGGCAGGTGACTGGTTTCGAGGGTTCCCAAGGAATAATCTTGATAGAGTTTCTCAGAGGACTTGTGAAGGAAGGGAAAACTGCACCTGTGAGGAAAAGACCAGGAGAGTCCTGCTAAGGAAACCTTGCTTCCGCCTTCACCATGCACCAGTCATTCTCCGAGGAGAGCAGGGCCTGTCCTACAAGAATACCCCTGGGAAACTGGGCCTGTCATTCCCAAGCATCAAAGGACACCCCAAAGGAACACCTTTTGAGTCCCTTGAAGAAGCCAAACCACTGTTTTGACGCAGTATCAATTGATGAGCACAGAATCCTTTGGGGAATAGACCTCACACTCAGACCATCAGAAGGACTCTGACTCATAGCGACCCTACAGAACAAGATGGCACTGCTCGAGGAAGGTTTCCAAGACTGTAACTCTCTCTCTCTCTCTAAATCACATTGTTAAGCTATTGAATGACAAAATTAAGGTTTATGGTGATAATGAGTCCATAGAGTAGTGTCCCTTGTCCCTGAATGAAACAAAAAGTATATTTGACGCCTTAAAGAACTTGTGAAGAATTAATAACTGTTCATCAGTAATGTTACACTTTTGAAAAAAAAATTTTTTTTTAACTTTCTTTAGATCAACTTTCTTTTTTTTTAAAGATTTTGGTATATTTTCTTTTCTTTCTTTCTTTTTTCTTTTTTAACATTTTATTAGGGGCTCATACAACTGTTATCCGACACTTTTGAAAAATTAAGTGAAATTTATTTCTAGTAACCCTTATTATTTGCATTCTGTGAATGTTTTTTACGTAAACATACAAACTTTGCTAGTCACAAAAGTAGTATTGAGACCAGCGGTTCTGAACCTGTGGGTGGCGACCCCTTTGGGGGTCGAACGACCCTTTCACAAGGGTCACCCGATTCATAACAGTAGCAAAATGACAGTGATGAAGTAGCAACAAAAATAAATTTATGGTTGGGGGTGGTCGCCACCACATGAGGACCTGTATTACAGGGTCACGACATTAGGAAGGTTGAGAACCACTGATTTAGACAAATTTCACTGTAATTTTAAGTCTAAGACATCATCTTTATTTTTCCCCCAGAACTTAAAAAAGCTAGCGACTGAGCATGTTACATTTTACAAATACATTCTTTACGAGGAAACAACCTGAATACTGTATACTTCCTGTGCACGGATATCTAATAACACTAGTGAAGAATATTACCGGTATGCCCCAGGAAGAAGTGATAACATTTTATGAGTGGTTAGTACACTTTTAGAGAGACTGACTGTAAATCTCGATGCGAGTAGAAAGCCTCATCTTTCTCCTGAGGAGTGTCTGGTGGTTTCAAACTGCTGACCTTGCATTTAGCAACCCAATACTTAACCACTGTGCCACCAGGACTCCTGTGACCTTGATGGAGGAGAAATCTGAGTAATATATACAAGGGTATGTTAGCCTGAGTAGACCAGAGAAACAA